TTGCAGAACATCGACGACGACGGAGAGAATCCCGGCGAATTCGAAACCGCAACGGAAACCGACATGATTCCGATCTCACTCACCAAATAAAAAACCCTGATCGATTTCGTTTCCCTTTTCTTCAATTACCGATTGATTGATCGTGGTCCCAAAAGCGCCGGAGAATCGAGACTAGGAAATTTTAGGTTATCGGAGAAATGGGAGAGAGAGAGAGAGAATATAAAGGGGGGAGAGAGTCCGGTGAGTCAGCGCGTGTTCCTCTTTGTTTCCGTGTTAATAGCGGGCCAGTTGGATTATAGCGTATTTTGACTAATATTCGTTTTCACTCCTTGTGGAATACCCAATTTGCCCCTCTTCCCTCAAGTCGGCCAACTATCATTTTTTTTCCTTTTTTTATTTTTTTTATTTTTATGTTCTTAATTATTGTGTTGCGTGGGGAGTGAGAGTTTAACAAAACAGGACAAACGTGTTATTTTGTTCAATCATAAATACATGAAATAGTCCTCTATAGCTTTGCATTAAGGTATGGAACTGTGGATTATAGTGAATTGAGTTGTAAATGTTGAAAATTTATTGTCACGTGGGAGAGTAGGGTATTGCGGAGGTGCCGACTTAAGATATGTTGATGCTCAGGTTAGAGTTTTGACGAGGAAAGGAAGAAGATTGAATTTTTCAAAGACCATACCTCATGTATACTTAACTTGGGTTCTTTAGCTTTCTTTCGTAGGGAGGTTGTAGAGAATCAGATCCACCTACTCAAGATTTGGACTCTTTAAAGTAATTCTTCAGGACATTAAGGCTCGTGAGGACAAGATATGCGAAGCTCTAATTCCTGTTCTATGTGTTAGATTTGTAAAAAGCTAAGGTTTGATACTTCGAATGGCTGAGGTAGAGTATGTCCTGATCGTGACTACTTAGGCTCGAGAGGTGTATGACTTCTCTTGTAACTTGCAGGTACTTTAAGCTAAATTCAAGATTTTTGTAGATTTTAGCTCACAAAGAATCAATATTTTTTTTAATTCAAGTTAAATATTAGTGTCTTTAATTATAAATTGTAAGTTAAAAATCTTCTACTTTCTTATGAGGTGATATTGATAAAAAAAATAATAATAACAATTCTTATTATTGATTAACTAATCGATAGAGATAATTTTTTAATTAAAAAAGTTACATCGCAGAAAATAATGGTGTATTTTTTTCTATAATTCAATAAAATTTAAACTTTCGATTTTTTTTATCAATTATATTTATTTTAACCAATTTAACCATGGAAAACACAAATGAGCGATGTTTAAGGGGGGTAATAAAAGTCATGGGGTAAAAGACAAATTATAGAAAAAAAAATTAAGGTGAAAGTGAAATTTAGGGATAAAAATAGAATGTGATTTAGAGAGAGGGGCAATAAGGTCATTGCTGGGGGAAATAGGTCAAAAGTCATAAACACGGAGAGTTAATTTTCAAGAGTGGGATTTTAATAATCTTTTTGACTGTGAGTAAGGCGCTAATGTGGGCCCCACAAATATGAAGGACAGAGCCTGCTGCGAAGTTACCGTTACAATGACTCGTGAGGGAGGGGTTGTTGCGTAATTTTATAATCCACAAAACTAAATTAAAAAAACAAAAGAGATATTTTTTCCTTTTCTGAGGCGACCGTTGGGCATGACGTCATGCATCAACGTCTCTGTATCATGCAACTCTGTTCTTTTTCTTTTCTTTAAATGTTATCTTCTTATCGGCGTTGAGATTATACTTGCAGTTACAGTTTTTTATCTCCTTAATCTTATCTTTTTTTACTTTAACGAATCTGGGATGAAGATCAAATTATCTGACCCTTTTTTTTCGTGAGTGTACGAGTACTTCAACTAATCTTATGGAGCAGCGATTTGACCCTACAACATTTAATGTCAAAAAATACATAGAAATTATCGACCTTTTACTATACTCGAAAATTGGTAGTTACATCAAATTTTTAGAATGTGCACATATACCTGGATCAAAGAGGTATAGTTTAGAAAAATTTTTATTAGTACATTCGAATAAATGGTCGAGTGAAATTTGCGTTAATAACAATAGATGTGAGGTGAGAAATCAAATCAATGTAGATATTTTAACTACTAAGCTATGCTCAAATCAAAGTCAGTGTTTAAGTTAGCATACATGAGTAAAAAACATTTACACTTTCCAATTAACTCTATTTTATTCCCATCAAGCATAACAGATCAACTGATCTTTGATTCTGGCTGGTAAGAGAATTTTTCAAATTAAGAAAATAAATGAATTCCTAATTAAGCAATTTCAGTTCAATAATCAATTTTATTGATATTCTTGTTATAGTAAATGTGAGGTCACACATACCATCATATTCAATTCAATGGAATCATTTCATCTTTATTTTGAAGAGGTTGAACTCGAAGATTCAAATTTCCACACCGTCATATTCATTGTACTAACAAAACAAGTTCAAATTAGCAACAAAAGTAGTGCACTTTTGTTGAAAGCACATGAACTTTTGAAATTAGATAACAAAGTAATTTATTTTTAAGTACTTTTTATTAAAACACCATTTCTTTTTCAAATATGTCATCTCAGATAAAATGTGAGAATTTGAACCTACGAAAAAATAGTCACCTTAGACCACCCTGAAGCCAAAACTCAAAGCTAACCTAAATATAAACCATGAGAAAATCAGCAAGAACAAAAAATAAATAATAATAATCACTCTAAAAGAGTCCCTACTATATTCCCATGTTTACAATTTACAAATTATATCATAGGAGGGGGAAGAAAACAAATTTCAATAATATCCCTGAATTCAATAGCATTATACCATAAGAAGAAGAAGAAAAGTATCTAAAAGAACAATGCAGTATAAAATAATTGATTCCAAGTATCAGGCAAACCAGGAAGGCACCAATGGCTACAATCAGCAGATCTTTGTGGGTTAGCCCTCTGCTCAGGGCTCAAATCGCCACTGTAAATGGAGGGGTGCCCATCCTTTCTAAGCTCAGACAGCATGGTTATGTCCAACAAGTATACTGGGTTTCTCATGTCCCTTATCACTTCATCCACAATCCTCATCTGCTCCGGGTACCCTGCCGGGTACGTCATCCCGCCCATCGGCACCGTTTCCCCGTAGCAATTCTTCGACATTGTCGTTGTCGACGCTGTCCCGGTGTTCCATTCAGATGGGCTGTTCATAGGATCAAATAACAGTGTCTAACTTAGATGCATTGCATAACAGTTTAACAAACAGAGCCACTCTAAATTAAACAGCCTTAAAGCCAAGAATTTAGCTTAAAGTTAGGTATCAATGGCACCATTGAATGGAGAATTTTCTTGGGTGCATTTGATTCATAAGTTGGGTTCGTATAACTTGAGATTGAGAAGTCGAGTCTACAATTTTTTATGTCAGTTGCACTGTAGTGCAAACATGACGCCTCCCCATCCGTTGTCCAGTTGATAGGATTCTGGCTTCGAATGGGAATTCCTCACGGAAATTTAACCATTCAAATACAAATTTACCATAAAAAAGTAAGTTTCAATTTAGAACTTCTATAAAAAAAGAATTATAAGAGGAATAATTCCCTATAGAGAACCTGACCCATGCGAAATCGAGTTGAAAATTTCACAGGAATGGAGAATTAAATGGGGGGCGGGAAAGCCATCCCCATCTCCGCCCTTTCAACCCTCCTATTTCATATACTTATCAATAAAAACATGCATCAATATGGTAAGTGAAAAAAAAAAGTGCTCAAAATAATTTACTAGAAAGATGAAACAAGATCTAAAAGGATTTTCTATACCAATTGAAAATTTGAAAAAATATCTTAAGGTCATATCATTTTCAAATAGAGGAAGATAAGGCAACAGGTAGGACCATGAAGCTTCAAGGAAGAATCATTTACTATTTTCTTTTTGTTTTCCCTTTTTAATTGGACTCACAGCCAGCTTGAATGGGTCAACTTAGAATGAATAAAATATTGAGAAATTTGTTGATTAAAATATATATTCATATTTTAAGTAATTTATAATGTATTTTAAAGTATACTCATAATTCATCTGTCCCACCGACATATTCGGGTCCTGCTAAATTGTGCTTTGTGAAACATATTTTTCCCAAACAGAGCAATAAAAATCAATGTTTTTCTTGATTTCTAATACTAAGTTTTAATCCCCTCATGTTTAGGTTTTTTTTCATTTAATCCCTATTATTTAAAAAGTTAAAATTTAAATTTTTTCGTTTTTTAAGAATTTTAAATATAACACTGGTAAATATTATAAGTAGTTTTTTTTTTTGAAATAAAATATTATAAGTACCTAATTGAAACTTTTTAAACGATACAAACTAGGTTTAAATACCTATTTTGGTTCCACTACTTCCGGCTCTAGTACATTTTAGTCCCTATATACTTTACGTCCATTTTTGTCCCTTAATTTTTATTTTTATCTCATTTTTGTCACTTAATAAATTGCTTGAAATATAACTGTAAATTTGTATTAAATAATTTCCATGGTGTATAAAATTGGTACTAAAATGTTACAAATAAGGACAAGACTAGTCATTTTTTTAAAAGTATAAAAACTAAAAAAAAATAAAAAGATGAAAGTACACTAACAAAAATAAACATTTTGAAATAATATTTAAAACTAGAAAACTAAATTGAAAAACAACCCAACATTGGGGGTTAGATCATATATTTAGCCCCAAACAAAGAAAAACAATTTAACCCATGAAGAAGAAACTGAAATTAAAGGGCTAATATAGTAACTTAACCTAAAAACATCCAAAATATCTACTGTGAGATCTGAGGGGATAAGAAAAAGCAGCCAGAACCAGAAGAAGACAGGAGGCCCTAAATTGGGATGGGAGGGAATTTTTAGAGCTTGGAGCCAACATTCAGATTCAACAATGGATGCCAAGGCAATCAAGAGAGAGAGAAGAGAGACTGACTTGTAATGTGTGGGAGAAATGGCTTGGAAGAAAACCCTTGTTCTTGTAACATCAATGTTCTTATCAACCCAATCTGCCCAAGTTCTCAGTCCCTTCTCCATTGCAGCTAATCTATCCATGTCCTCATAATATGATCCTCCTGATTCCATGTAATCCCACCTGAAAAAGAAAAACCAAACAAAAATCAGCATTCTTCTTCTTCTTCTTCTTCTTCTTCTTCTTCTTCTTCTTCTTCTTCATCAAGATTATTTCAATTTCAATTTCAATTTCAATTTCAATTTCCATATCATACCCTTGTAAAGAGCCTGTGTGGCTCCACCAGTGGCCAGTGTTGAAGGAAATCACGTCAGCCCCTCTCCACACATTTCCATTCCCTGTTATCTCCTCCAGTTTCAGGATTCTCTTCCCATTCTCTATTTCTATGTCCACAAGATATGGAGCTTTGTAAAACGACACAGACAACCCATATTCCTGCACAGACTTACTTAATTACTCTTAATCCTAGTGATTTCGATTTCGATTTCGATTTCGATTTCGATTTCATTTAATCTGAAGAAGCTTGCAGAACAATGGGTACTCGTACTCACCGGGAATGTGAAGGTTGAGAGAGGGTCTCCTCTGATCATCTGGGTGGGCGTCTGTGGAGCCGATGCTAAGATCAAGCAAATCAGCGACTCCCATTGGTTTCTCCCCAACGAATCTCCAACGAACATCACCGTTCTCCCTCTCATTCGCATCAGAAACTCGGCCCCATCGAACCTTCAATCAAAACGCTACAGCAGGAGTCGTCATCAAGATATGGATGAGAGAAATTAGAGAGATGGGGGTTTGGGATTTCTGACCTTGGGAGCTCGCAATCGAGGGGCTGCCATCGGTATTTGAGATAGTTGGAATCTGGGCGGCCGTAGAGCTGGCAGTTGAACTCCGGGTCGATGATGGGGCAGTTGGAGGATTGGTAGAGTGGGTAGGCGTCGTCGCGAACCCAAGTTCCGGCGAAGAGGTCGCAGGCGGACTGGTTGGATTGGAGCACTGGGCGGCGATTGTGGTGGTCGCCGCCGCGGTAGTGGTGCTTCAGACTCAGAATCAGGGCGGGGGAAGCTGGCTGGGAGTGAAGCAGAAGCAATGCTGCCAAACAAGAACAGAACCCCAAAAGCGCCATTGCAGGAGGTGCTGCCGCTTCGAAGAGGGGGAGAGAGAGGGATTTTGGGGGGTCACTGTGCAAATCTTGGAAAGGGGAAAGGGGAATTGAAAATGGGTGGGTTCAAGCTCACGTGGGTTCTGTTTTGTTCTGATGAATTAGAGAGAGAAAGAGAATTGATGAGAGAAATGGCGCAGAGGGGGCTGAAAAGGTTTGAATTTCAATGGGAAATGGGAAATCTGCTTTTGGTGGAAAGGAAGGAAAGAAGGAAGCAATTGAAAGCCACAGCACATGTTCTTTGCTTTGCTTCGCCCTTCAATTTGTTCTCTCCTCTCTCTCTAGTCCATTGCTATTATTTTTCCACTAAACATTCTTATCGTAGCTTCACGTCATTAGGATCCAAATCTTCTAAATCCATTTATTAATATAATGATAAACCCGAATATGGTTAGTCCTTTTTTTTAAATTGAAAACTAAAATAGATATTTTGAAAATTTATAGACCATATTTGAATAATTTTGGACCGAAATTAGCAGTTTAAAAGTTGGGGAACCAAATATAATTGTCTTAAAAATTTGGAGACTAAAATTAGATTTAAACTCGTCTCTTAATTTCTCTCACATTTTTTTTAAGTTGGACTACGCATTTATTTGATTTCTCACATTTTAAAATGGACATTTTTTTGCTAATTGCATTAGTTTATGTGGAAAGAAATATATCATTTTAATAATATCTTTGTGACAAAAGCGAGCATAGCTTAGCGATTACTTCCAACCATAAGATTGTGAGTTCAAATCCTCTCCTCCAGCATGTTTTACTAAAAAAAGAAAATAAAAAGAGGGAGAAAGAAGAGGGAAAAAAAGAAAAATACTATCAATGTTATTAAATTAATATATTTTATCAAATTAGCAAATACATTCAACACCTTAACCTTGATCAATTAACTATTAATGAAGTTCAGACTCAAAGACTATTTAAACAATTTCTCGAATCTCAAAGACCATAAATATCAACTACAAACCTCAAAATACTATATACAAGGAATTATGGAGGAGAATTTTTCGCTACCAGTTTTGCTCTCAATTTTTTAATAATTTTACTTTTTAGGGATGCGATTGGTCAAAATGTCTATTGATTCAATAGCATGTCTTACACATGTATATTTTACCTTTCAAATTTTTATAAGACTGCTTTGATCAAGGTATCTATCAAGATAATCGGTGCGATCAAGACCGAAGAGTTGTGCCTATTCGCATATCAGTGTGATGGAGATTAGAGAGTTGTGGCACACATCCTTTCACAAATTCAAAATGAGAAGTTAATACAATAGAAGTGCAACCTTTCGACAAAGTATTCGCATATAGATGCAATTGCAAACCATCTATAAAATGAAAGAAAACTAAAGTGGTCATACATAAAAAATTATGTCTTTTTTTTTATTTCGTCGAGAATTTCTATGAAAGTTTTTTTTTCTTTGATCAGATAATTCATTAATATTTAGTTAATGTTATTTTTAAGTTTTAAAATATAAAATATTCATGTTATATTTTAGTTTGAATGTTCGTATATATTATAATATGGCTCTCTTAATTGATGTTAGTTTTAACTACTCGTGGAATCTTTTTAGGTTATGTTTACATCTTTTTTATTCCTTTTTAGAAGATATTTTTTATTAATTAACTTGAGTTTCTAAACTGATGTGGTAGTTTTGATTAATAATTTGTGTACTATGATCATATTTAGGTGTAATTGGTCCTAAAACCAACAAAACAAAAGAAGATTCAATCATATTCTAGAAAAAAAATCACCCAAAGTCTGAGATCTTATCATATTATTGAAGGAAAATCAACAAAAACGGGAGGTCATACCAATTTCAAGAAAAAAATCAACAAGAATACGAGATTATATGAAAGGTAAGTATTCAATCGTGTGTATTATTTAATTTCTTTTTCTGAAGTTTTATAATTTATTTTTTTAATTCATTTTCCCCTTCTATTATCTTGAACAACCTTTTTATTTTTTCATACCAACAAGTTTAGAACTTTTATTTTTATATATAATTTCAAACTAATTTATTATTTGATCTATATTGAACTTCTTTTAAAAAGAAAAATCATATGTATACTTCTAGATTTTAATAGATATTAATTTTTCAACAATGTCATTGTGTCAAAAGTTTTTTGGAAAATTTTTGTGCATATGATTTATTTTTTCTAAACTTTATAATGATAAAATTTTGTAGTACCATTATTTTTTCTCTAAATTTGTTTAATGTTTTATTTTCTTTGATTAAATAAAATATTATTAACAATTTTAAAATATAATAGAAAATAATTTTTGAGATTAGTAGTCATAAAAAGATTTAAAGATAAGAGGTAAATCATTATTATTATTTCTTTTAGGAACTAAAAATTTAACTGAAATTTAAAAATTAGGTTCAGAGTAATTACTTTCCTACCTACAAGTTTTATAACTGAAATATATTTTATAATTTTAAAATATAACCCAATATCTCTTTTATATGAAAATAATTTTTTTTAATAATAATAATAATAAAATTAAAACAAACTAAAGAATTTACATCATTTTTTTAATAAAGATATTTCACAAAATATCTTGAATAAATAAAAAGAAATTACCCACCCCACTTTTTAGTATAATAATTATCTATGTATCCTTACATTTAATAGCTAGTCCACGATTCGCATAATTCACATTTTTTTTTATTTCTAATTTTTTTCACGTAAATCATGCAATATATTACTATTTTAAAATAAGATTAATTCGAATTTTAATATCAACTATTAACATGGAAAAAGTTCTTTGAAAAAAGGTATGAAACTATACACACACACACGTACTTAAACATTAATTATCTATGATATTTTTTTATTACTTTCTTGCTTTTATTATTTTTGAAATTCATATCAAATATTTAATAGTTAAACATTAATAAAAGGTATATTCATTTTTAAATATGAAATTTTCATTGTAAAAAATTATATTCTAAAAATGTTAACTCACAATGCACGTGAATCTAATTAGGTTAATAAATAGTGCTGATTTCTCCCTTTTAACCTCTTTCTTACCCCCTTATTGTGCATTTTCCTCTTTGGAGTTTTCAAAATTTCAACCTCCTATTTACTCACTTTTTTTTGGTTGTAAAAGTAGTTATTAATCAAAAGTCTTTTTAAAAAGTAAAATATAGAATCGGGGTGTTTTATATTTTAAATTAAAGAAGCCTTTAAAAAAAAAAAATTAAGAGCAGCACAAGTACAACTAAAAAAGGAAAAAGAAACTGAAATCAAAATAATTATTCTTCTCCATCTTAAAACACAACAATCTTCCAAACAAAATTTATTGTTTGCTGTTCCTATTCCCAATATTTCTAGGAAACAAATAAAAGTACTATTTTTAGTATCGACTCATAGAATGTATAATAAATCTTTAAAAAATCAATACAACATTTACAAATTTTGGATATTAAATTAAAAAAATTATTCTACACGTAAAATTTGTATTTTTTTATAAAAAAATCTAAACTGAAAAAAAGCAAGAGAGTAAAAACAAAAAAATATTATCAAATATGTTTTTATTTATTTTTTAAATAAAATAATAAATAATTACCAAACGTATTTATATTCTTCTTTATTAAAGAAGAAAAACGAGAAATAAGAAAGAACCACGTGGGCTCAAAAGATTGGCTTAAACGAGTTTTAGCATCTTAAACCGACTTCATGTTTGGTCATATCTTCTTTTTACATTAAAATTTTGAGAAACATGAACATTGGATAAATTGTTTTAAAAAATTATCAAAATTGTTCACAGATTTTAGAAAAAATAATGGAATGTAAACAAAATTACTATTATATCATTTTACTCACTAGGGTTTTACCACGTGCAATGCACGTGTATTTCTTTTTATTATTAAAGAGAATAATTTGAGTGAAGTATTATTAAGTAAAATTATTGATTAGTTTTACATATTATTAGTGTATAACTATATTTAGTTGTTAAATAATTTTATTTTATAGGTTGTTTTTTTAAATTCAATTTCGATGTAATTAACATCAATTTTATTTTAAATTATATAAAATTTTAAATAATATAGGATTGCGATGGTGAGATTCAATTTTTTTAACCTCTCAAAAAAAGTTTTTAATGTCTTAACATAACTTTTTAATTTGTATTTATATGAATAAATATATGTTTTTTTGTATAAGAAGTAGGGTGGGAAGATTTAAACTTAACCTATTAATCAAATATACCTACTACTGCAAAGCTAAATTTATGTCGACTATGTAAATAAAAGTATTAATTAGTTTTCATATAATTAATTAACACTTTTTAGAGTAACACGCATTTCGTTAACGTACTACTTATAATTTAAATATGAACTTGTAAATAGTATTTTTAAGATGATTATTTATTTATTAATATGATTTAGTTTTTTTCCTTACCTTGTTTTTAATTTAAATAACTTACCTTACAAATGAATTTAGGTGAAATGTTATCTCATTATAATTATGTATTTTATTTTCTTTATTACCAATTGTAGTACATTTTTAGTTGGTGGATTGTTTTTATTTCATATAATACTTCTTTATCTTTTTTTTTCCATTTCTATTATTATTTCATATTTTGTAATCTCATATTTTAATATATATAATAATTTTATTAATTACTTTTCATATAATTTATTTTGTAAAGACATAATTTTAAATTGATACAATAAAAAAATAAGCATTGTTATTTATTTATATGAAATTTGATGGCTTTTCTTTTCTTTAAATTTGACATATAACTATTGCTAGAGGTAAACCTAAGTATAACTAAACCGGTCAAAGCATAAAGTAATTTTCTATGATGTAAGAGACTCAAATTTCCATCTCATCAATGGTTAAGGTACCAAAAAAAAAAAAAAATATGATAATACAAATAATGAGTGACGTATCATAGAAAACGTTCGTTTTTTAAAACTATTTTCGGATTCTATGATCCAAACAGTAGAAATTATGAAAACGACATTTTTATGTTTTTAGCGTTTTCAGATTTAGAATTTGAAAATTGTAAGATGTAGAATTACATTAAAAAGGATAAAAAATTTAATAAATATATTACTTCATATTATAAACTTATTTTATATTCGTTAGAATTAAAACATGTAAATACAAAATTCAAAAAAATATTAATAAATTAATTAATATTACTTTAGATTAAATTAAATATCTAGTTTATAACTTCTCATTTATAAATATATTATTAAACATACGTACAACCATTCCACGTCTTCTTTTTCAAATTTCTGTGTTTTTTCTTTAATATAAAAATCCTTTTTTTTTTTGGTGTATAAGTTTGGAATCGAGTAATTACATTGAAAAAGAAAAGCTCATACCACCTTTTCAAAAAGGGATGAGTACATAGATGGTCTATTTAAGAGTCCTAATTACGTAAAATGATGGAAAATATAGAATTTACACTTTTGTCTAAAATAATTCCTGAATTAGATGGTACATATAACATAAATTACTAATATATCCAATCAATATTAAATCATTATTAAAATATCAAATTGGTAAATCATTATTAATATATATTAAATCCCTAAAATCGTGCTAATTCAATTTTCCAAAACTGAAAATCCTAAAACCCCAAAAATTCTGTAACCTCCTTCTTCTCCATCAATTTTCTTTCACCGCTCCGCTTTTTCTCCTCTACAGCATCTCATTCCCGGACAGAATCTTCGACGCATTTCTCCGATGCATCTCATTCATGTCGCTATCTCCGGCAGCTTCTTCTCCTTTGTCTGCAAAACATTTCACCGCCGCCCTCCGTCGCATCTCATTCTGTTGGTTACCATTATACAATAACATCGTCGCTGTTCATTCGTCTCCGACGGCTCTGTCGCATGAGCATTTCAGTCCGTCGGTTCCCATTATACCTTAGTTTATGCTATATTTAGGTTTCAATTTTGGACAAAATCAAGGTATATAGTTCTGATTGTTTATGCTATATTTAGGTTTCAACTTTGGACAGAATCTCTTGCCCTCTGGTTCTATCATTTATAATAGTGTATATTTGACTATATATAATATAATGTTTAGAGTAGGATATATAATATATCTCTAGTTCTAAGTATCTCGATATATACTAGTGAATCTATCATATTTTTAACCAAAATTTAAAGAATTAGAACCCGAGCATACGAACCACTTTTCATGGAAAAAATATTTGGTTTTCTAGTAATCACAGAGGACTTTCGGTATTACATTGTTTTTGCTAACTGGAAGAATTTTAGCTACAGTTTCTGATTTCGTTTGTTCTGAATAATGTATGTGAGGATTATAGTGTTTATAGTAGGATATATATTATATCTCAAGTTTTATGTATCTCGATATATACTGATGGTGATTTAAAGTTAAAAATCTAGTGGATATATACCGTTACTGATTTACATCAATATATCCGGATAAATTTTATATCTCATAAAGTTCAGTTTATGTTATATCGGATATATTTTCAATATGTTATACTTTATACCATGTCTTATAGAATTTCATATTGGCTTTCAGCTAGGATTGTTTGCCCTTTATTATTTTACATGTTTTACATAGATATATATTAGTTGAATTACGTTAACATGATCACGTGCATACAATATGAACATAATTTATACCCATATATATGAATAGCTAAACTATAATTTAAAACAAGAAAATAAAATTAATTCATACCTAAACTGTGTTTTCCTTCAATATCGACGTAAATCAATACGTGCTCCCTTTAATTATCTTCTATTAAAGGATAAATAACACCAAAAAAAAGTTACACATTTGTAAAAACAAAATAAGAAGTACAGTAATCATAACAAATCATAAAACTAGAGATATAATAAACGGTAATCATAAGAAACTAAAAAACTATATAATTGCTTATTGCTTGAATGACAGTGGAAAAAATTGATTTCAATAACATAATAAGAGACTGTGAATGACAGTAGCGTGCAAACAACAAATTTTTTTTTTTTAACAAGTGCAAACAGTAGAATGTGGGAGGCGTACAGACTAATACGGGTATTGAAATATGGGTACGACAACTCTACCAACCTGAAATATTGAAGCAATCAAATATTAACGAAGAGAAGCACCGTGGTGAATAAAGCAACGTAGCAATGAACGAAGATGTATGAATCGGAACAAAAAGAATGTAAGTAGCAGAAATTGGAAGAAATGAGGATGATGAGATTTTGATATTTTTCTAATTAATAATATTGGTAAATAAAGAAAATCAATCTTTTCGAAGGATTTGGAGAGGTGAATTAAAGAAATTTGAATTGACAATTAATATGAGACCCACATTAATTAAACGATTCTCATATTAATTTATGGAAATAACTATTTTATATTTAAAAAAATAAAAAAGCTATAAACCTGTAATAAATAGAAGTAAATTTGGAATTAAACTAAAATCCTACCCTCAGAAATCTAAAAGTGTAAAATTATAAAAATTTAGACATTTATGCTGCCATAATCTCTTTAAAAAACAAAGAACAAAAAGCCCAGCCCAGCCCAATTTTAAAAGCCCATAATTAAGAAAGAAAGAAACATTACAAAAGAAAAAAAAAAATAAAAAAATAAAAGGAAGCCCTGCAAAGAAACCCACCGCTGCGTTCTGCGTTCTGCGTTTTGCCCTCTCCCACAACGAAAAAGAAACCCACCGCTGCTTCCTTCGCCGATTGCGTTCGCCGCCGCCATCACACCGTTCGTCTTCGCCGTCTATTACCTTTGCCGCCGACGAATTTTTTGTTAGTATTTTTCTTTTCTTAACTTCTTATATGTTAAACTAAGTTAGAACTTGAAGCATGTTCAATTAAATTAGCATCAAATTTTTTGACTTCCTAACATTACCATTCGACTAAATTTTAGTGGATTACGTTTAGTATTTTAGACATAAAATTTAGGACGGCGAATAGTTTAGGAATCTTTCAGACGTAAAATTGAAAGTTCAATTAACTGTTGGAAATTTTTGAATTTCAATGATGTATTAGATACAAAATTAAAAGTTCAGATAGACGCGGCCTAAAAAATTTAGGACTAAACTTGTAATTTAACATTTAATTATTTTCTAAGCTTATGTTGATAAAAGAGATGACTGTAGACCCATAATTGAAAATATATCGCTTATGTTGTAATACCAAGACTGGTTAAAAAACCCTCTTAAATAAATTGGTTTGTAGAACATAATGGAAACTGAAAAATAGTAACAACTAAGGAAGTGTTGCTAGTGCCTCTTACTACTACCTAATTACAATACCTTACTAACTGCTTTTCTTTTTGTAGAGTCTTTCACTATTTCAAATCGAGTAAAATAATAAATTATTAAGACCTTGAAGCTGAACTAATGCCTAATGTTTTGATATTTAATTTCAACAACTTGCAACGAAAAGAACTGTGAGTGTGAAAGCTTTGATTTATTAGTCTCTCTTTTCAAGTTGCTACTTGAGAGACTTGTCTTGACGCCTCATTATTCATATTTCTCTTTTTACTCACATGAAGAAGCTCTATCAAGCTGTTCAATTCAAGCCACACACCTTGCTGTCGTGGTTTGCTTGTGCATGAGATAAAATTTTAATACCTGTTATCGTTCGACTATCATGTATAACGAGTAAAGAGGATCTGCTAAAAGTTCTTCTGTAGTTTCAGGACAGGGTGGATTGATGCCTCCATGAATGAAACTTATGTTTGCCTTATTCCGAAGAAAGTAATTGCCACTAGGGTCAAGACTTTAGGGGAATTAGCCTTGTCACGAGCTTATATAAGATTATTGCCAAGACCCTAGCAGATTTGTTGAGAAAGGTTCTTCCCAATATTATTTTGGAATCCCAAGGAGATTTGTTGCAGTGAGACAAATTTTGGATCAGGTTCTTATTGCCAATAAGGCCACTGAAGATTATAGGAGAAGGAATCAAGAAGGGATTATTTTCAAAATTGATTTCGAGAAAGCTTACTGCCAAGTCTGCCATGTGGAACGAGGTTTCTTCAACAAGGTGTTGCATAAGAAGGGCTTTGGTATAAGTGGAGAGCATGGATTTAGAGTTGTGTTAGAAATGTGATTGTTTCTACCTTGGTAAACGGGAGACCGAGGGGTAAGATTCGGTCTGAGGGAGGGGACCTTTATACCCCTTTCTTTTCATTATAGTGGTGGATATGTTTAGCAAGTTAGTCTCAATGGGGGTGCATAACGGTGTTTTAGAGGGCTTCTTGGTGGGGGGAGAGAGAACTTATTTGTTGCATCTTTGGTTTGTAGATGATACTCTCTTCTTTTGTTTTGTGAACGAGATCTCTTTTATTAATTGAATTGTCTACTTTCTTTCATCAAAGTGATGTCAGGTCTTAAGATTAATAGAGTAAAGAGTGCTTTTCTTGGTATAGATTGTTAGGGTTATAAGCTTTCCTTTGGGGCCTCCTTGGCTGGGTGTGAGGTTTGTGAGTTCTCGTCCTCCTACCTACGGCCTCCTTTAGGCCATAATTCTAAGAGTTTGGATGTCTGGTCTCTTGTGGAAAGGTTCCAAAAGCATTTTCTTCTTGGAAAAAAGCAAAGGAGGTAGACTCACCCTTATTTAGTTAGTGTTAAGAGGAATTCCATCCTACTTGTCCCGTTTTAAGATCCCTGCGCTCGCTTGCAAAAGCTTGGAGGAGATCATGAGAATTTTTTTGTGGGAAGAGGTGGACGAAGGGGAGGATCACATTTGGTTAATTGGGATATCGTCTCGATGTTGATGGAGGCGGGAGGTTAGGTATTGGGAACTTGAGATTTAGGAATGTGGCCTTGTTAGCTAAATGGTAGTGGCGTTTTTCCCTAAAGCCTAATGCCTTGTGGCGTAAGATTATTGTGAGCAAATATGGGATGGTACATCTACTCATTTTTGGGAGGATCGCTAGGTGGGTGATGAATTCTTGTCTCTTATTTCCTCGTATTTACCATCTTTCTGCTAAGAGGCTGGATTCAGTGGCCTCTGTCTTGGGGTCATCAAGGAATCCCCCTTCCCTTTGGTCTCTGCCGGTCCTTGATGGATAGGGTATCTTTGGAGGTCGTTGAGTTGCTTGTGTTGATTGGGGAAGTTGGCTTGATTCAGGGGAGGAAAGACTTTCGCATTTGGTCCCCTAATCCTTCGTTGGGTTTCACTTGTAGATCTTTCTTTAATCTCATGAGTGTTTCGTAACTTACTCCTAATGCCTGTTCGCCTCGCTTTGGAAGGTAAAAATTCCAAAGAAGATTAAGTTCTTTGTTTGGCAGGTTTTATATGGGAAAGCTAATACCATGGACCATATTTAGAGATGTTCTTCCTTTGTGTTGGGTCTTCAGTGGTGTGTCCTTTTGCAAAAGTGAGTTCGAGGACCAGTTTGCTCAGTTTATTTGGGGTCTTTGGGTGTCCTTGGCTTGTAATAGGGATAGAGGGGCCAGTTGTGGCAGACTTTTTTTTTCTTTTTATTTTTTTTGCAACTTTATGGGGTATTTGGATGTAGATGAATGGTAGAATTTTTTAGGTGTGGAGAGGTCTTAGGAGAAAGTTTGGGGTGTAGTTAGATTTAATACCTCTCTATGGGTGTTAGTTTCTAGGTCCTTTTGTAATTACCGCTTAGGTGATATTCTTTTTGATGGGCCCTTTAGGTGAATCCTCTTTTGGTGGACTTGTTTTTTGTATGTCTTTGTATATTATTTCATGTTTTTCAATGAAAGCTCGGCTTCTTATAAAAGAATTGGAAAAAAAAAATCATTCAACTGTCATGTACTCTTGAAAGATCTCAACCCCCGCCCACACACACACACCCACCCAAACATATTTACAAAGTACGTCCATGTCCCTAAAGAAATTGTCGAATGCATGTTGGTTCACATTGCCCACGGAAGATTTCTGATTTTTACCTCGCATTGAAGAATGCCATTTTTCAATTTGCTTCATGAGATGCTTGTATTCAGATTTTATAAAGGATGCCTTCCCTCCTGACAGATTCGACATCACTAAATTTGCCTAATCTGTCACATTATTGAATTTTCCAAATCTGCCGCATTGTGTTGTAGAAGGACTATCTTGTTAGATAGAGATACTGCAGCAATCTGGACTCTAATACTGTTCTTGTAAAATAAAAGTAAACATAAATCAAGGAGTGTTAACAAGAATTGAAATGTATTACTTACGTTGCAATGCTAAAACCCCAATAGACAGATGCCCCTTGAATGGGCATAAAGAACAAAATGAAGCTAACAGTACGAAAAATTGTAGAGAGTGGTTAGTGCCCTTAACAGTTACTAATTTTTGTGGACCTAGCAAACTGACTACAGTTTAAAGTGTATTATTTTACGTAGTTAAAAGTAGTCGATGGTGGAAAGAACCATAGTCATTTTGTTCCACATAGTTAGCTAGTGGTGGAATTCACTAGCCCCTTCCTCTAGTTTCTATTTTGTAGCTTTAAATCCTACTTTGGTCCGTGGATTTTATTCCGTTTTTGGTTTCTATTTAAATGTTCTACACAGTCCTTGAACTTTCTAGTTTTGTCCTTGAAAACTATTTCACTAGCCACTTCCTCTAGTTTTTAATTTATAGCTTGTGCTTCAGTGACCAGATATCAAGATACTCTAATGTTTGAGTGTAGGAACTATTACAAATATTTGCACCATACTTTTGGATATTTTGTTATTTACTTTTGCGGTATACGGTAGGGCTCAGAATGATTTCTTTCTCACCGAATGACAGAAAAATGGTGTTATTGCTAATGACAAGAGGTTCGATGTGATTTAGATGGATAGAAAAATATTTTCTAACATTCTCAAATTGCTACTCTTCCATCCATTCTGAGTGTGTGGCTAAGTCATATGCGTAACTGTTTCTTTTACAATATGTCCGTTCAGTAGGTTTCATGAAGTTAATACTGAACTTTCATGTTTTAAAATATATTTGCAGCTTACAAATTTTGTTGGAACTTGAGAGCTCGTTGCAGTTACAGAAAGCATGGCCAAGCATCATCCTGATTTGATTATGTGCCGCAAGCAGCCAGGAATTGCCATTGGCCGACTTTGTGAGAAGTGCGATGGAAAGTGTGTGATCTGCGATTCTTATGTCCGCCCCTGCACGCTTGTGCGGGTATGTGACGAATGCAATTACGGGTCATTTCAAGGGCGGTGTGTCATCTGTGGAGGAGTAGGAATTTCAGACGCCTACTACTGCAAAGAGTGTACACAGCAGGAGAAAGATAGAGATGGATGTCCAAAGATCGTTAACTTAGGCAGTGCAAAAACAGACTTGTTCTACGAACGTAAGAAATATGGGTTCAAGAAACGATAAAGCAAAAACAATTATGTTCCTAGAATGGATCTTACTGTAATGTGATGGATTTCTGATTTCTAATCTCAAACTTGCGTAGTCATTGTATGTATATGTTATGTTGATGGGTCAGAATGAGAGCAATCGTCCTTTTTCCTTAGTTCAACAACATTGTTTTGGTCGAGAATATATGTTAACCAGTTGAATTATGCTCACAGTTTGGTGCCGTGAGATTTGAAAACTTTATCGATTGTATTGCGATGATATTTGAATTTGATTGATAGGCGCTTGGCTGAACCTAGCTAATGGAGGGGATCTGTTTTTGGTTGAACTAATGGTGGGAAATTTCATTCTCAAAGTCAAACAAAATACAGTGAATTGAAGATGGGATTTGTTGTTGCTTCTTTCTTTGCCTGTTGCTAGTGGAATTTCATTGAATGTTTTTATGCTCCACCTTCTTCTCTCTCTCATCAATTCACTTCTCTCCCGACGCATAGAGAGACAGGAAGTATTGGTTCTTTCCATTAATGGAAACTGTGGGACAAAAAGTTGAAAATGTAGGTCAAACATACGCTTTTTAAAATGTTACGGGTCGTTTGTTTGTTAGGAATGTAGATGTCCGACATCTTCAGATGTCTGGATAGCCATGTTTGTTTTACGAATATTTATATAATTTGTACTTTCATTTAATACCATTTGTATTTATATAATATATTTGTTTTATTAATTTAATATTTGTTGTTATATTTAATTCTCTATTTTTGTATGTTATCATGTAGAATTCATATTATAAGATTTTTTTAAAAAACAATTAAAATTAAATATAAATTTCATTTCCAACTTTAACAGTTTTTTATTCGAAAATACAAATATATAATTATTTATCTAAAGTGAAATTTATTTATAATATCAAATTATATATTTTTTTAAAAAGAATTCTAAGATATTTCATCTGAAAAATGTTAGAGGCATGATTTAAATCAACAAGGTATGTTGGAGGCATTTTGTCTAATTTAGCTTTAAACAAATTATAGAAACAATAGATGGATTGAAAATCAACATAATTTATGGCTCATGGTTTTATACTAGGCTCTGTACTGTATTTATGTGGGTCTAATGACTCTAATCATAAGCTATAACATATTTTCGCAACCACATGAACTTAGTAGTCAGGTCTACTCTCAATCAAATTATGTTAGAATGTCTTTCGATTTTGCCAGATCCTAGAGAGACACTACGAGCCCTCCGTCACTCAGAGGGCAACACATTGAATAACTTTTCATTTCCCTACCACATGGTCTAGCTCTTTTTCAATACCTTTCTTTTCCTAATATTTTCAAAACATTTAAGCAGGTTAATATATATATATATATATATATATATATATAATATAATTTATTTTGAGTACAGCAAGCAGGTTAATATATTAAAATTGATTCGTTTTGACTTTTTAATTTCCCCATTAATGAAGGTCAACTGAATTAGAAGTAGTAATTAAGGAGAGCTCAATCATGGCCTGGCTTGAAAGTTGAAAGTTGAAACCTGGTTTTGAATCATAGATTTCTATGTATCTTTGTTTTGACTTTGGAACAGAAATGGCCTCTTGATTTGAATAAGTTTACAACCAAACCATGATTGTGTTGGGGTTAATTTTGAGCCAATTTTTGACATCTTTTTCAACTTCCAAGTCAATTTCAAATAGGTATTAAACAAAAAAAAAGTCAATTTCAAATAGTATTTGCGTTTGATTTCTTAACATAGTTTTATATCGGTTAAAAATAGAAAAAAATATTCATAGTATATAAGTAAAAGATAACCTCTCTATTCATACGAGATATTTTGGATGAAATGGCAGGTTAGGCCAAATTGGACAATTTCATACCATTGCGAAAATATTGGAAGGACTTGTTTTTTTTGACAACTTCGGAGAATAAAAGATATACTCCCAAACACGTTTTAAGAGTGATATAGTTTCTAATATTGTTGCCAAATTCTGCCAGTTGAGATTCGATCGAGCTGATTAGGGAAGGTGAACATGAAGATTCACAAGCAAATAATGAGCATTTTGACGCTCAAGTTAATTCAAAGTCCCAATCTCTAGGTCTGATTCCAGATATAATTGCATACCTGATTGAGTACTAGAGTAGTGATGATTCCATGTATTTATAGGGGTTAGTTGGAATCTTACCATTGCAAGAATTACTGCTAAGGTCATGGAGATAATTCCAACGAGAATTTATTTTGCTTGAATCACTCCGTAATGTACGTGGGAGCGGTTTGGTTCTCAGACAAGACAAGCTAAGGGCTTCTTTCTTTCGTGTAAGGTTTTAGGTGACGAGCTGTGTAGGTCGATATCCCGAAGTTGGTGGCTAACCTCTGCTCTTGATCTATATTTTCCAACGTTGATAATTAGTCATCTCTCTAGAACTACATTTTTCTAGATTAAACGATGATGAAAAGATCAATGTTTCTTAAATTGACACTAATAGTTATAATAACTACGCAAATTTCAAATCATAATTTTAGTCTTTTTGTATCTTTTTCATTTTAATTATATATATGCATTAAACATTATAATCTACCGGACTAATTGCTTTCATCTCGACCAATGGCTTCGTTAGATGACATCTCAAAAAAAAAAAAAAAAGGGCTTCATTAGATGGTGACATATCTACGGCTTAAATTTCCAAACATTTTCTTACCTCCAACTTTGACATAAAGGAGTGGATTGATAATTCCATTATATTGTAAAAAAATTGGCAAAACTTAGGAAAATATAAACGCCCCTTTACACTTCACATCAACGTTAACTGATTAATAATGTTAATGAGGGTGGACGCTGCTAAATAGTATCACCGGAATCACGTTTTTTCGACAAATATAAAGCTAAAACAAAAGTTAAAATTGCACTGTATTTTTTATTTTAATTCATTTTGGTCACTGAACTTTCAAAACATTTATTTTGGTATATGTACTTTCGATTTTTGTTCATTTTAATCCTTGTACTTTTGAAATGTCTATTTTTGTCCCACCTCTACTTTTGAAAAGTGACTAATTTTGTCTCTATTTGTAAAATTTTAATATAAATTTAATATATAATGAACCCCTTTGATACAAATTTACGGCTACATTTCAAAAAATTTAATTAGAGTAGTGTTATTCTAAAATTAAGGGACCAAAAGGATGACTTTTTAAAAGTAAATGGACCATGTCACTTATCAAAATGAGCGTTTTAAAAGTACAGATCAGTAAAATGAACAGAAATTGAAAATATAGCGAGCAAAATAGACGTTGTTAAACGGAAAAAAAAAGGTCCACCCCAGTTCTCCTAGCATAGTAGCCAAACTTTATATGGTTCTAAGGAATTGCATGCAACTAAGTAATGAATATTATTTTTTTTTCTGTCTATAAATATGGAGCCTTTGGCTTTGGTTTTCCTCCAAAATCATATTAGGGTGCAAAAACCAGAGAGAAAATTAATGGCTTCTCGACTTTCCCTTTACTTCTCTCTCCTCATTCTCCTCCTCGCCACTGCCTCCATTGTTTCTTCTGCAGCTCGCCATGCACCTGCAACTTCGAGCAAATTAGCTAGTGAGAACAAAATCCTTTTTCTTCTTCTTCCTCCGTTTCATTTATTTCAGCTAAACAATGTGTGTATGAAAAAGTCACTATTCCCGACCTTTTTGCAACCGTAGGAAAAAAATGACTTTCTCCCGACGGTTTTCAAAGAGTCGGGACCATTTTTGAGAAAATGTCGGGAGTATCCTTTCCCGACACACTTAGTTCGACATTTTTCCTGACGCATTTTTCTAGTCAGAAAAAGTCAATCCCAACGTTTTGAAGCGTCGGGAAAAACCTTATTTCTTATAGTGTGAGTTCGAATTTCTGCGATATCATCATTTACTCTCCATTTTAATACAAGAGTGTGCGCACTTGCTGGAGGGTCAAGGATATGCCTAACCTACCGCTGTCGGGTTAGACTCTTGAGTTAGTGATAGGTTTAATATGATATCAGAACACAAGGATCTTGAGTTCGAACCTGATCTATAGTATTCATTTCCTCCCCATTTCATATAATAGTACATTGTCTGAGGCCACTGGTGAAGAGGAGTGTTAAGAATGTGGATAAATTACTAAATACATATCCCTTAATCTATCATGTTGCTATTGGTTGTAATTACTATCTAACATTATTAACACGTCCTGAACTCAAATCATTAATTATTATTTCCTTCTTAGTTCAGATTATACTAGTCTTGTATTAATTTTCAAAGTCACCTTAGGTTGAGATATGTATAAAATGATTATACAAGTCGTAATCCATCAAGTTAGTATTTTGAATTTAGCAGTAGTTAACATAGTATTAGAATCAGGGTCCTGAGTTCCAACATCTCTTCTAACCCTTCACTATTGTTCCTTTTTGTTTTAACCTTTCTTTTCGTGAAATGGCTTGGGTTTTAGGGAATGGAGGAATGGTGGAGATACACGAACGTTTCGCAAAGTCGAGAGTCGAAGATAATAGTATGGTCCACCATCGTCTCCTAACTGGTAAACTGAACTCTTTTTTTATTTCATAGGATCTAATTTGTATTTATAATTTGTATTTTAAAGGTTTCTTTTGGTTTTGTGTGGTTGAAAATGTTTAGGACATGAAGAGATGATCGGCTTACATGACTATGGTGATACTCATGCCAATCACAAACATGATCCTCATCATCCTCTTGCTGTCAAAGGTAAAGAAAAAAAAAGAAAAAAAAAGAAACTAACTTCACTGGTTTAACTTTGATATATTTATTCATAAAGCTTAGAAGCAGTCGTAAATATGAAAAAAAAAAATTAGCAAAATAGTAGCTACATTTAGTTTTTTCAAATATAGCACATTTAAAAAAAGGAAAAAAGTGGTCCAATTTTAAAATGACAACTTTATCCATGTACTATTGATTTAGTATTTGATATACTTGCAAATATATATCTGATACACTACTGTAATGAGTGTCTGTGTAATATGTATCTGATATACATTTGATATATTACTGATATAAGTGTCTGATATACTACCGATATGAGTATTTGATATACTATTGATATAAGTGAAAATTTGTGCTATATTCGAAAATTAAAAAAAATAAGTGACATATTTTGAAATTCAGAAAAGATGATTCCATTTTCTTTCTATGTCCCATAATTTAAATATACCAACCTTCTATAGAAAACTTTATTATTATTTTTTTAGTATAATAATATGTAGGAGTGGGGATTCAAAACCTATGATCTTTTAATCAGTCGAGCTATATTTCTCAATTTCGCGTTTAAAACTTTATTGTTGTTGGTTGTTCTTATTATTATATACTGATTTTTGTAGGGAATAACAAGGAGTTGGATGGTTAATTATTAATGAGAAGAGAATGCCAAGGAGAGGGCATTTGTGTCAAATGGTGGTAGCCACTACTATTGTGTGTTGAGATTAATACACACCAAGGAAGAATAAATACCTAATTCCCACACTTTTTGGTCTTTTTCTGTGTTTTTCTGTAAGAAAAAAAAAATGATATTGTTACTAATGTGGTGTCTATTATTCTCATTGTTTCCCTATCAATTTTAACTTTAAGCCATCTTAGGTGATTAAAAATACTTTTGGAAAAAATTTATAATATTCAGTGATAAGTAAGAATACATTTTAAAAAAATCGGATTTTAAAACTTTTTTTAGGATAAATACGTTGAGACATGATTATTCAAAAAGTAACTTTAAAGTAGCTTAAGCACGGGAAAGAAAATTATCCCCGAAAAAATACTTAAATTAAAAGATATGTCAAACTCGTGGAGAGAGGAAAGAAAGTGTTACTTTGTAATACTTTTCAAGATATAGCAAAGTTGAATTACATGTGAGCTGTTATGAAAATTGAAATCCATAAAATTAATCCTCACTACGAAGAAGAAGTCGATTCTCTCTAATGGCAATGAGAAAACTACTGTGAAAGCCTATTTGACGTAGGTGACTGTTGAATGACAAATTTTGGCGAATTATTAAGTGTCACGTCATTATTTTAAAATTATATTTAGAATCAATCACAAATTTATATGTGTCCTCAAATTAATTTTAAAATCGATAAATTAAATTATGTCATGTGTCTTTCTTATGAGTGTTCAATGACATCGACTAGTTAGATCAACCCATGTAGAGATTGAGCTCGATCTCGTTAAGTCCATGAAAAGAAGGCTCATATAAGACTAGTAAAACTCTATAAATAGAGGAGGTCACCTCTTATTTGAAGGATTGAGAAGAGTACTTTTGAGATTCAAAGTCAAGAGAATTCAGAATTATCTATAAGCATTCAGAAGGAAAGTATACATCRGACYAGATATCATTCATTTTCTATTGATTGGGATCCCCATTCATTCCTAGATTTCTGTCTTGTCCCTACCTAACTACATGGTAGTGGTCTAGGAAGCGCAATTGCAAAAGCACGAGAAAATTAAGAGTAATAATTTCAACAAAAATGCAGGAATGACAATGAAATATGAAAGAAAAAAGATGATTTGAATTCAAAGAACTCAGAATGCACAAGAAGACTCTGCGAAGACGTAAAGACTAAAAGAATCAAAGACTACGAGACTCTTCCAGAATTGAATCTTCTTTTCGTCATTAACAAAGCCGAAGATCTTCAACAAGTTCAAAACTAAAGACTTAAAAGAACTCTTAATAAGCTACCAGCCGAAGACTTCATCAAGCTATAGCTAAAGAATTTCATCAAGCTAACAAGCCGAAGAATTTCGTCAAGCTACAAATTAGAGACTTCATAAAGCTAAAAAGCTGAAGACTTCAAAGATCTTCAACAAACTTGAAACCAAAGACATCGAAACAAATTAGGGTTGGGTATTTTAAGCCCGACGAAATAGTTTCATCGAGCTTGGTTTTTTTCCCGACGAAACGTACTTTTTTGGACTCGACGAAAACATTTTCATCAGYTGGGTCATTTTCCTGACGAAACATATATTTTGTCGGGAATATGAAAGGGCTGGGTTATTTGCCCGACAAAACTAATGTTTCCTCACAAATATTTGCATCTGACGAAATCAGTTTTCGTCGGGAAAAACTCCCGACGAGGTTAATTTCGTTAGGCAAGGCTTATAATTCCGACGAAATTAAAAGCATCGACAAAAATTGTGTTAGGAAAGCTTAATTTGTTGTATTGCTCAAAGATCCTTCAACAAGCTAGAAGCTGAGRMACCAATCTTCTTGATACGAGAACACTTTAGCCCTTAAATCAAGTTTACACTTGAGAGAAAGCATAAGAGGATCATGAATTAGAGATTGTAACACTCGTACATAAATACAAATACAAAATTCATTAAATTCGAATTTCTTTTCACTAAAATTCCTAGCGAACAGAGACCATAACCCGTTCGTAATCAAGAAAAAAACCACTAGTTGGTTACAAGTTTCTTATTTCTAATTTGAAAATTAATTTTATGGTACTTAATTACACATATTATCTATGACTAATTTATAATTACTCTCCTTTATCGAAGCTTATACATAACTAGTTCATTTTCCTTGGGTTCCATTAAAATAGGAAAACACATATTAAATAATTACATCACTAAAAGAATTCCAACATCAGCCTTTTCTAAATTAGAAGATGAATCCTCTAAAGAAAGAGAGAAAATATAGAAGGTAATAAAAATAGATTCATTTTACAAGCTGTATCTTCCAAAAGTTAGGAATGACAGCAAGAGGTACTGTCAAATTAGAGAAATAACAGTAGGGCTGCTGTCATTGTTTTTGGCAAGTTAACGACTACTGTAAAAATTAGGAAAACGACCGTGTCAATTCTTGAGTTTATTCGTGCTTAAAAGAATTATAGTCCATCGTTTAAATTTAAGTTGATAGATTGGATAAATTGAAATTATTATAAATGGAGAGGAAATAACAATGCCAGAGTTCAAATATAAAACTTTYTGTTTATTATAAACCCTTGTTAGTCCCTCATCTTTTCAACGTGGATCTTTGACATGTCGTCTCAAGATCGTGGTTCTTTTGACTCATTGACCTTAGTCAGATCCCATTTTTAGATCAGCTACTCGTTTGAGCTTTTGTACTATGACACCATATTGAGAATGAATCACTATTCAATCCAAAAAAGTATAAGTCCGATCAATTTAATTCATATATTAGATATCTAATATATTTACAGTTCTGTGAYAAAATTTTAAATGATATCTAAAACCATTTACGGTAGAAATTTCATGCAGAATTTGAAGAATACCAAGGTGCCATAATTGGGGTTTCCTGTTTTGTGATACAGCGATATGTTACCTCTTTTGATCTTTGGCTTAGAAACATCCATTTTTGGTTTCAAATTCTCCATTTTAAACTGAATAAAGCCTCCATTTTCTTCCATTCTCTCTGTATAATCTTTCGAAAGAGAGAAGACAGGAACAAAAGATGAGTTTCAAAGCTTTTCTCTCCCTCTTCCTGTTGCTCTCATTTGGCCTCTATTGCTCCGCTCATTCAGGTACACAATTTGAATATCATTAGCTTCTATATGTTAAAATTACCTCGTGTGTGCTCTGATAAAGTTAGGTTTTTTTGTTTGAAGCTTTAGAAAGGCGAGGGATGATGATGGCTACAGAAGACTACGCTGATCCCGGGGCTAATCCAAAGCACACACCGAGACGACCGCCGGTTCAGGTTTTAACCACTGCTGGTGGCCGTCATCAGCAGCCATGGGGCCACGTCAGCACGGAGCCCTGAGCACACACCCTTTTTCCTGCCGGAGGAAGGAAGCTTGAACACAGTAATAATATGCATATAATGTACTAATACAAAGAATTCCATTTCTGTTAAAAATGGAATAATCTAAATCTCTCGTAATATCTTGATATAAGGTATAATTTATTTCCTTAGATGAGTTATGTTATGCTGTGTCTCGTCTTTTGGGTAGTTCTAATTCTGCTATTTGTCTACTTTCGTTGTGTTGGTGGTGTTTCTGTCGATTTATTGACAKGTCTATTTTTGTTATCCATTTATACGTTAATCTCATATGACATCTATTCTTTTTTCGGCAATATATATACTTTAAAAACTTCGAAACAGAAAAAAAAAACTGACGAAAAAAGAGATACAATAGCTCACAGAAATGCTATAAAAAGTCTTTTATRGCGTTTTTGGAGGGTCGTGATAGTCTATGCTATCAAAAGTCCATAACTTTTGATAGCGTCTTTGAAGAACTATAACGATATAATAAATGAAGAAATTATTGTATATTTATGTTGCTACGAAATCATTTAATAGCGTTTTAGTTTAATGCTATTATATGTTTGATAACTATTCTTTTGTACCTCTTCAACTATTTTTTTTTACTATCATATGGCTACTTAATTGTTATTATAGTTCAAATTTTGTGTTATCTTAAATTATAATAACTTTTTATTTACGCTATTATATTGTGTATCTAGCTTTTATATTATATTGTTATAGATTTCTATACTTTTTCCCATTGCTATAATTATTATGGTYGACTTCYTATAGAATTTAGTTTTTGCTATGTAAACTTTGTATAGTTTGATCGAAAATACTTCAAAATTTGTTAGTAATTAAATAAACACACAAAAACACTAACTTCGACACATTAAATATACCATCACATTGTAAAAGCGAACCTAACTCACCAGTAATTGACATATATCTCAAACCAAAAGGTTGTGAGTTTGATCCTTCCCATACCCATATATTGTACTAAAAAAAGAGAAAACAAAATCATCCCAACATTTTTCTAAATGAAGTTTTATTATTCATTACATCAAAAAAAAAAATAAAACATTCAATATTTTACCAGAGAAATAAAGGTATATAAATTCACCAAAACTAATTTCCAACAATTGAGTTAACAAAATTACAAAATTTTTACCAAGTTTTGAAGAATAAAGGAATATATACGGAGTTTCACATCTCTCGTCTCCTCTTAGCAAAATTTGCTATTCAACAATTAGCCACGTCTTATTCGTCTTCATCCTTACCATTTTGGCTTTGCTTTTCGTTTCATCCAATCTTTTATCTTATTATATAATTTTTATTTTTATCTATTTAAATATTAAACATAAATATATTTATTTTATCTATATATTATATTGATAAAATAAATAAATATATTCAATTCAAATTGTTATTTTCATTTGTTTTTTATTCATTTAAAATTAGTTTCTTTTCTCCGTTGTAGTCGTTTTTTTCACTATTCACATTCATAACAGTGTATCAAACAAATATAATCTCATGTGATCAAGTGACATTACTTCTTCGGCCCGAACCCAGGAATCCCTTAGATATGATACAAAATGGATCTTATTCTATCGAGATTTCTCTATGAACAATTTGAGTCAGAGTTT